AGTTACTGTAAGATAAGATAAGATAAGATAAGATAAGATTTATTGTATATATACGCTCTTTGTGGGCATCCTACAAATATAGAACAGTACAATGATTTCCAATAAAAATAAAATGAAACACGGGTACATGTATATGACTGCCCGAAGCGTATTTTATTTGTGGTAGTTTGGACCCCAAAATCAGTATTAATAGAAATGATAGTCATTACAAATTGGTCAAAAAGACACGACCCACCGACCACACTAAACGGTCGTAATAAGTATATCGTTATGAAGGACATAACACGTGTTCTAAAACTGACGTCACTGAAAGATTTAGTAAATCCTAGACCAAAAGAAAATATTGAAATATTAGATTAACGTAGATTGACTTTTAATTTATTAATTGAAATATAAGACTCTAGGTAATTACCTATATCAATAGTATATATTTAACGTTTCATTGTGAAGTTCTTTGTGTAACTGAAGGAAACGTCTGTTCACGTCTGTTTAAATGAATAACTGATGGTCTTTTGATTTGAATATGCCCGCCATGTTTATTTGTGCAGCTCTTGACTGTTATATGAAATGACTGATATCTCGACATCTGGTAGATTGAAATTTGAATTGCTTATTTGCATCTATCAGAATTGACGAACGCACATTTGTTGGTACATTTGACTTAAGTGTCTCTTTGTCAAAACCAGACATCCATGAACATATGATGGTTTTTCTTGTCTAATACCTTTGACCAAATTGTCCAGTACATATTTGTTCTGTAAGCATCTAAATCTAAATTTTAATTTTTGTTTTGCAGGTCTCAAATTACAAGAAATCTTAAACTCATTAAAGTAAGTACAAGTTATTCATTTTTGAACTGAAATTAGCTGGCGTGTTTCGAATACATAATTCTCATCAGGACGGCTAATTTTGGAGATTGGGTTGGACATCGGACTCAAGTCGTATGAGAAAGCACTTTCCTGTGAGTCTTTAACAGAAATTCACAGCCGCTTCTGTTTTCGTTCTATTAGAAATACTCATTCATGTTATTTCTGTGATAAAGCCCTATTTTGCGGCCCAAATGTCCTTAACGGATGAATTGGGACGCATCTCTAGGTTACCCCTTTCAATATTGCGTGGGATGACGAACCTTATAATAATTCAATGAATTAAATAGAATTAAAAAATTATGCAAAATCACACCAAACAATTAACAAGTTAACCACCACTCCTCCTAAAATAATCATTACTCGTTATGTGAAGAGATTAAAATTGCCTAAGGAAATTATGTAAAATTTATTTTTGTTTTATATGATGATGACAAAACAGATTATTTTAAAAATTTATATTTCTGGAGGCGATAGAAAATTAGTCGAGCGACCATCAAATTGATTAAACTTCTCTTATTTAGACCTTGTAACAGTTGTAGTTATTGGTCAAAGGTGGGAAATGAGTAACATTATCGAACCCTTGCGTCTGGGCCAATGATAGTCACTTATTTTTTCTACCACATATTCGTGAATTGTGAATTTCAGCCAAAATTTAGTGCCAAAATAAGCTTCACGAATGTTCTGATGACCCTTCTGATGGTATTTGATTGAAAACCGCCGAATCATTGTCAATTCTATCAAATCAAGTGAGCTTTAACTGACCGACATATAAAACTGAGGCAACCAGTTATGATCATCGCAAAGCATATCGGTCGTATCCCTTGTTATTCTATCAAGCAATAATCGTCCACTGAACTTATGACCAATATTGCGTCGTAGATCATTAATTGCATCCCACGGTCTAAATATCCCATACAACAAATAAGATCTTCAAACCGTTTCAGATGATTTGATCTTATTGAATCTTGGTCCTCTTAGTCACCTGTAATAACATGACATCTAAATAACGTTTATTTTCCAAAAGAAAAAAATATCTTGACCTAAATTCGAGTATTTTGATTACGATTGTAAGTAAAAACACTCGTGATTCGCTTGAGCTCAAGAAAAAAAAAGAAGCGATATTGACACATCTGGGATGACTATTTGGTTGAATTAAAGAGAATCACCATCAATTAGAACTAGTAAACTAAATACAGAAAGAAAACTCCCATTGGTTGGCAATTATGAAAATGAACGGAAGTTTCGCGTATTATATTCTTGCCCTCGTTTTGATTTGGTAGAGCAATATTACAATAATGATCAACTGGTGTGCCAAAATAACACCGTAATAAGACTTAAAAGGGATTGTAAAGAGGTTTTCTTCAAATTTTTATGCTTGTATCACATAAGGTCTTCGCGATTAATGACGTCATCAAACACGGAGTTGTAGTGGAATAGGCCTTTCTTAATGAGATGACGTCAATATTCATAGAAGTATCAAAACGAGGCTAAGTGGGCAAGGAGCTCAAAATGGCGCCTGTTTGGCACGCCACTATACGTTTTGAGAAAGCAGTATTGCAGGAACCACAAACGTCTGACTGAAAAATAGAATGGTGCAAATTGATGCTATCAGTGTACATGATATACATATCTCTTTAAACACAGCAGGACCAATGGTGTTTTGGGCATGAACAGAGCATAAGATTTCGAACCTTTATGAGTACTCCTGAATCAACTGAAGATCAAGCTTTACTTGAGAGTCTTTCTCCCTCTAAAGATAGTTTTTTACGCTGAATAAAAAGCTTTATTTGAATGAAGGTAATTCACGAATGACAAAATAAGTTGAAGAACTGTAATTATCATCATGTATTGTTTAAATAAACTATTAACAATTATTTGTATTTCAAATACATGCTAACAATTGGACTATATTTAACCTGGCGGCTTCAAATCTTCTATTTGATGACATCTGGCAATCCTTCAGATGATGATGTAGGTCAATTTCGTTCTTTCGTACCAAAATGTCATTTGTTTGATAACTTCTTTTATCGAAAATAAAATTGAATTACTGTTACATATTCACTACTTGAGAATATTCATTCAATAATAAGGGTACTCTTGAAAGATAACTAAAATAATTGCTTTCAGCATGTAAATTATAAAAGATTGAAAAACGAAGCCTTTACACCCCCTCCACCATACAAACACACAAACCTTCTCTTCTACAGCTTGCATATTTTCTATCCATTATGAAATGCATTCCTCGCCAATTCTCATTGCTCACGCCTTTATTAGTATGTACTTCCCTTTCAGGAGTGAAGAAGAACAGCATATTGTACTACAACTACAGTTGTTCGAAGATCATAAAGCCAATGATGAAGAACAGTTTCCGGGAATGAAAGGTCTCGACTTGAATTCAGCCCTTGACATCTTCAATGCCATTTTCAAGCAGGTAAGTTAAACTTTAAGATACGTTGATGAAAACCAAAATTTTGATCCAGATCTTGAATCTTACAAAAAATCTTAGAAAATGTGCTCCTCTGACCACTTTCATTGGTACAGTTTCCTGCGAGAAAATTTTAGTTCTAATTTGAATTTTATTGAAATATACCATCAGTAAATCTGAAAAAGGACGAAATTGTTACTATGTTGGTATTTTTTATCATGGTAAAGACTTCTTTTTAGACGTAATTGCTATTTTTATCTGATATCAAATTTAGTGAAAAAAATGATCTACAGAAAAAAAGTAACCCGACATTTTCCCAAGCTAAGACATGTATTGCATTTCAAATTGCAAGCAAAATTCCCATGAACAAGTCCTTAAAAACGTGACAGTTAGATGCATAATACTATTAATAGCTCATTAGGGGATGTTGGAAAAACCCTAAAAGAAATTACCTTAGTAGTGACTCATATATACCTTACCTATTTGGTTTTTTCACTACGCCCATATGAGAAAATTTCTTTTTTTGTACACAAAATATACTAAAGAGATGGTTTTTTGATAACTTATGTCTTCAACCATATCGTTTTAAGTGTTATTTTTACCGCCTCAATATTGCAACTGAGGTAAGTTGAAGGTGGGTGCAAGCAAGTAATATTTTTAGAAACAAATTTTCCTACCGTTTTAAATCGGGGCAAAAATCCAAAACAAAAAAGGTATATATGCACATAATCAATGCGTTTGTACTGAACAATCAAGTCAATAACCCAAATCAGTAACAATCTGCATTCTGGTCAAAGTAGATAGTTGGACACGATGAGACAGAAACGCCAAACCAACCAAACCGGGGTGTACTTTTTTAATATAACATTTTGATAGTGTACAAATGAAATATGACAACAAGGTATATACGTGTGAAGATTTCCCTGATTGAAGTTTTTGCTGCAAATTTTGACATTGACACTCGTGTTTATTACGAATGCTTAAAATTACAATATTTAAGGCAGGCGTACGTGTTCCTTAGATTAAAAAAATCTAAATTTTACACAACTGACACAAGTTTATTCATTTATTCTGAATTATTCATTTATTCATTTATAACATTGTATTATCAAGTTGATTAAAATCGGCCACAAAAACTTTCCATCACGGTAAAATTATCAACTTAGATTTTCACACCTTCGAAGGTAGTTCTTTGCACTGTTCACTGACATTCTATGGGCATGAAAGCTTCATTGATAGTAATTTTTTCAAAAAAAAAAGTAAAATTATCAAAATTTATTACATCATACGCGTTCGAACATTTCATTATGACAAAGATCTGCCTCTTCCAAAATAGAACCAAAAAATTAAGCATATTGCGACTCTTAATATTTTTCGAAATTTATCCCATTTGCCTATATGAAATTGGTTATTGCTATAAAAGTGAAGTGTTCTATCAAAAATGCATTCTTTCAAACGTTTATATCAATTACAACCTGCGGCTTTATGATTTAAGAAAACCTACTTTCAAGATGATAATATCTTTAGAAAATGATTGATCTAAACTTATTTATATAACCTTTCATCTTTTCATATATAGCATGTTATGTTTTTGATATGGCCCTGTTAATAGGTTTTATGTCATTTTGTAGTGCAATTTGGTGTATTAAAAATTTCTGTGAAAAAAAAAATCAGATTTTTTAGTCCGATTTGAACAGACCTCAAAAGATATATCCATATATGTATATTACAAGAAATGCGATGAAAATGAAAAAAGACCCACCAAGCTGGACTAATACCACATAATTAGATAATATTAAGCAATATTTTCTCTGTAAAATATCTTGTATATTTTATACTAAACTTTTCCTAAATGCTCGACAAATATGGTTATGCCACCATGTTATGGTAACTATGTTATTTGCATTGAAAAACCTATAACGCCATATACCAATTTTTAAAACTTTTACCATACTAGTGTAGACTTATTTATGAGCAAGTCTTCGGGCGATGTTTCATAAAAGTGAAATATGAGCAACATCTTTAGCAACTATGTTTATTGCATTTTTCAGGTCAGTGACACGCCACTGGAGCTGTATTTCTTAACCTGTTTGCAAGATTTATTGAAAATCGACAATAAAGATCCCTCAGCCGATAAAATATGGACAACAACCGAACAATTAATCAGCAAGTGCACTTTACTCGAATCAGCGGAAGATGCTCAAAAACTAATAGTGACCACTTCCAGAAAATTGGACAAACAGAGTGATGGAAAGTGTTGTTGTTCGTGTCACAAAGATTGTGGTGAACGAGGACTAAATGGACCTAAGGTCCCGAGTGGAAACAATAAAGACACTTCCGTGCCAGTTCCAGCTGTGCCTGCTCCTCCACCACCACCACCACCTCCTGGAGCTGGTCCCCCGCCTCCGCCACCACCTCCTGGAGCTGGTCCCCCGCCTCCGCCTCCACCTCCTGGAGCTGCTGGTGCACCTCCGCCTCCACCTGTTGGAGGATTTGCATCTCCAGCTGCAAGCAAAGCACTACCGCAACAAATTACACCTAAACCCAAAGCTAAAATGAGGAGTCTGCAATGGCAAAAGATTCCCAATGTGAAAGTCATTGGAAAAATAAATGTGTGGACAATGGTAGGAAAATTATTCGGTAGTCATAAAGTGGATTATTCTAAAATGGATGATTTATTCAGCGTGAATCCAATGCCGCAGACAACAAATACTGACTCTAGCACACCCGGAACAGACAAAAAGAAGAAAGAAAACTCAGAGGTAGGAAATGATCTTAGTATATCGTTCAGTACACCAAAAGATCTATTAGACATATTAACACCTTCGTCCCAAAGTAAGGAAGCAAAGAGCTCCTTTGGCATTGAAAGTGGTCGGAAATGACATCACATGATATAGCAATCAAGCTGACAAACCATCCAAATTTTTAGCTTTGCCACGACTTAAGTTCAAGCCATACCAGCCTAATTACATTGAAACTTGAAAACAGTATACTGTACGGTATTTTAATTTTCGACAAGTAACAAGACAGTGTTATTTTGTAACTTGTCGAGCTAACAAAGGATAGTGTGTTAGTAAGCCTCGTCAGTCAACATACTTTCAGATAGGCTGTATGTAAATTCTGGAATGTTTTTGTCTTTTTTAAAACCGATCTATCAAACTGGTAATAAAATAGTCAACGAAACATTCATTGGATTGGTGATCTGACTTGATTTTTGATGGCGAAAAATCTGATGGGAAAATATTTAGCATGACCTTAATGAAACATATTTTACCTGTAAATTTACAATTTTACACAATTCTAAGAATATTGTCCCCATGGGAAAATTCCGTGTGTTTCTAGGCAATTCGGAAGTCCAAAATGCAACTTGTTCATAAATGATCTTTTTTCAGGTAACACTCATTGAAAGTAGGCGCAGTTTGAATGTGAACATTTTCCTCAAGCAGTTCAGAATGCCTCATGATGAAATCGTACGATTGTTACGTGAGGGCGATGGCAGTAAATTTGGTGCTGAGAAATTAAGAGGACTGTTGAAGCTTCTACCTACTCATGACGAGGTAACTATATCGTTGCCTATAGCTTGTTCCCTTCCCAGACAGTTTGGTTAACAACCCGAGCCGTGGATACTCGTTTAAATAGCTTGTGCCTCTTCTTCTTTACTGTCATTCATTACATATATGAAATAGAAGGGGCACAAACGTGAACCTTGTCTTACCCCACTATCATGTTTGTATATTTCAATGTATTGATAGGCTATCATTATCAGCATCCTAATGGGTACTTGTAAATCTCCTTGTTATGAAACCTGAATTTATCAAGTAAGATGGTCTCTTCAAGGTGTTTTGAAGCTAATAATTAGGACAGTGGCGATCAGGGGGAATTAAAATTGATTAAATCAACACTTATGATCGTTCACATATTTTCTCTTAGATTCAAACTTTAATCCTTAAGTGTCCATTGACTTATGAATGACCCGAAAAATAAGTAAAATAAATTCCTATAAAATCCCACAAGCTTTAAATTGTAATCCTCGGCCATTTTTAAAGTATTCATTTGATATATCGCTTTTATTGATGATGTTAAAAAGAATTGATAGTATTCGCCGATTGTTACTATAATCATTTTATGATCGCAGCAACAAATTTTTTATAGCTGTCGAAACGATGTCTGTATTCTAGAGCAAATCACGATTCCCCTTACTTGACCCCTGAGTTCACAAAAGACTGACCCGTCCACTTCTATCAACGACTGGACAATGCAGGGTATTAGAATGGCGCGAACATAGGTAGATCATGTCAAAGGGAGTGGACATCGACTATTGAATATTGGGAAGGTCAAGCGAGGTCAACTTTGCCATTGACATATCAATAAGGATAGATATATAGACATCAAACTGGACAATGCCGGACAAATGGTTAAACAGTTGCACTTTTTATCTATGGACATATTTAAAACTGACCAGGCGTTAAATTGTTGATGTTTGTATTTATGTTTTGATGTATGTTCGGCGTACCGTCCAATTTGACCACACGACTCTATTTTTGCAATGATAAAAGCTTGCTGTCCTAGTGTTTGCCTGCATGCGTTCACAATTGAAGCGTGCCAATCAATCTAACAACATCATTAACAAATCTTCGTTTTTATTATAAGTAATTTATAGAGTGATGACTTTTTGACTTTGCTTACAAAAGAATAATAACTATTTGGATGATGAATTGCCATTTGTAATGAACGTACATTTGCATAATTTCCGATTCTGAACTTTTAACTTTAAATGTTTAAAAGAACAGCATGACCTTTCGTTTCCAATAGTTCAAACGTATTTTGCCCTTTGAAACTGTTTCTACTTTGATAAAAATATCGTATATCTTATTCATTAATAGAACGATGAATTTGCATAATTTCTTTAGATGACCTTTGAGACCTTACGAAGAGAACAGCATGACCTCAGATGTTAATAATTTGCATAAAGGGATAACAAAAAAATGTCATTCTTTGTGATACGGTTAAGTATATACGACTTTTACTTGTGACCTTTTTCATAAAAAGTGAACTTTGTAATGGTTGGACATGTTGTACAAATTAGTTATTGACCAAATGTCGTGACTTGATATTGTTTTTTTTTTTTTTGTATAAATTGTGCATATACTCGACAAGGTATTCAATAATAACAGCGTCACTGCCAAGCACTAAGATGGTTCTCTTGACAATCTTGCAGGTCGACATAATAAAAGCTTATGATGGTAATAAAGACAAACTTGGAGAAGCAGAGAAGTTTTTCGTTTGTTTGATGGGACTACCAAAGTAAGTATTTTTATGTAGCAGTATAACTTTAATGTTAAATTTTACATGACAAATTACGCGAATGCGAACTTAAATTATATTAGAAGCATCATGAAATGAGATGAGATGTAGGCCATGCCATGTAGGGCAGATTATATCCCCTTGTGCTGGTGGTATACCAGATAAAAGGTACATTTTGGTAAGTCCAATAGTTGGAAGGTCATTGGTGGCATTGTAAATTCCTCCTTAAATTCAGGGATACCAACCTGTGCCTTTCCAAACCCGGATTTTATATCCGTCTTGGCATCAACTTACTGCCTATCCTTCTGAAACATCATATGCCCCCGATTACACTTTGACGGCAATGTCCATTTGAAATACCCCAAGTTGCTTTTTGTATTTATGACTCTGATCGTGTTGGTAAAAGAAAAGCGTCTTTTATTGACAAATTGCTTACATGTAAACGTTGAACATTTTCAGCTATACATTACGAATCGAAGGTCTGTTGATCAAGGAAGAATTCAACGATAATATGGAATGGATCAGGCCTAATATAGAGTCTGTTATTCAAGCTGCAAAAGGTAGACATTCATTCCTAACCTCCGCTGCCTTATAACGCTAATAACCTTAGAACTCTTATTATAGATAGCACATCTTATACCATTTATAAACGGGCAAAGATTTTGAGATAAAATATTAAACTGAGCGACCATGTACTAATCATCTAATGGATCTGTAGTGCATGATTGCTGTCTGTGATCTAATTCAGATTTTGCCAAGCAACTTGGTTTCTCGAACCTTGCTATGAGACTTTGGGTGTTTTGAGATATTTGTCCTTTTTATACACATTTCATTGGCTTCAAATTCGTCCAAGTTACGTTTAAGGTTATCAAAATCTTTGCCCCAAATTTTCTTACATTATCACCATGTACATACATCTGCACATTTTTTGTTTTGTTTTTTTTTTTTAGAAAAGGTTGCACTTAGTTTTTTTGTGGCTGACAAAGCACACCCACCTCGAATAATAGCATTTATATTCAGATGTTTAACTTGTATCTATCTACCATTATAGTATTATGCTTCCTGAGCACTAATAGCATCTCTTTTACTTATTTTTTTATATATAATACTTATAATAGGTTGCACTGCACAAAGATCAAGACATACATATACCAATCAAATTCAATCTCGTGGAATAAGTATTTTGTTTTGCAAAATTTGGCACACATACGAATTATCCGCCTGTGGGATATTTTTTCAGCATATGTACACAAAATTATACCAATGCAGTGATAGAAATATGGCGCTTTGATTTGCGGGAAGTTGCTGACTTCGGCCAATAAAATTCTCTGATTTCCAATTTACACAAGATGGCGTAATGTATTAGCGGGAACTTGCCATATCGGTTTTCAACTTCCGGTAAAACAATCGAACGTCTCTTATTATTCGGATGTTGAGCCCCTTGTATATTGAATCCAAAGCATGAATTTTGATGGGTATATGAATGCTCACTGAATGGCTTTGTCTCGATTTCTAAAGTGCCATTTTAAGGACAAAATGTTCTTTACGTGTATCATAATAATCTGTAAGTATAATACTCAAAAACTATTGAAAAAGTCAGAGCTTTTGTGTTAGTTTATAGAATAGAAGCATGCGTCTCTAATTTGTGGTGGGTAAAACTGAAAGTTTTTTCTGGTCTCTTAAAAAGCGTATGGGTCTTAATTCCGAAAAATTTCTTAAAACGAATGTGCAAATGGACAATTTCATAAAAACCAAATCGAATACGTCGAATACGTGCAAAAATGATAGGCATACATCTTTTTAAGTGAATGTCCGATTTCGTGAATTAAAAAAGAAAAATCACCATAACGCATCTCAGCGCATTATAATTTTGTACGTTTTAGAAACAATATCTTGCAAAAGTTGCATTATTTCCTTTAAGGCTTTCTAAATTATTTGGCTTTGTTTCAAAGTCGTGATCATTGTAAAGACCATCGTCTCGGCTTTTCTTTCGAACTAAATAATTTCAGTATATGAGAAAAAACAAATAACATATTCATGATATTTCATTAAAAAAAACATTAATAAAGCGTATTACAAAGGATTTTTTCGTGATAATCGGTTAAGAAATGCACTGTTAGGAATAAAGTATTTGTTTTTGAAATATGCGGAATGAACACAAAATAGAAATTCATATTGCCAAATCTCATTATTAAAACGGACAAGCGATGTGATGTTGGTAGTTAACAGATGCTGTCCATTGCGAAGAGAACGTCTCAAATTTGGACATAAGGTTTGACTTCAAAGCTTTCTACTAGGGACTATTACTTCGCGGGTTGTAGATAACTTATAAAAACAATGCAAACTGTGTAAGTAAAATCAACTATTTTTTATGCAAACAAATCCATTGTAAGTAGCCATGACCTTAATCCGCTCACCGCCGTGGAAAACAATTTTTTTCACACGTAGGGGCTTCTTCATTAAGCGATTACGTTGGATTAAAGGATTCGTAAATATTTAGGACTCAAACAGTAAGTAAGAAGTATGCAAATGTCAATCAAAATGGTTTGGGTGGATGAAAATTGTGGCGGCTTAGTTC